CAGTCTCTGTTGTTTTCTAATTTAAAACTTCAGTTTCTACCTTCTTTTCATTAGTTTTATTTCTGAGCTTGTTTATTTGTTTTTCTGGATTTTCTTATATCTGATTAGCTATTCTAAGTTCTCATATATCACTTTGCCTTAATTTTCTTTCATCTCTGATTTTCTTTATTATAGCAATTTGAACTCTCTGTGGTAGGGAGTCATTCCTATTTTTATCTGTAGCAATAACTCAGAGAGGGAACTACTATTACTTTTCCTGAAGGTGGTGCTGTGTTTCATTTCTTCTGATTTTAGTTCTTTGGGTTTTGCTTGTTTTGTTAGGCCACAGGATATGATCTTGCAGTTGCTCAGTCAGTGATGGAGTGCAAAGCTGCTGGGTCATTGGTGTATATATAGTTCACCCTTGAACAACCCAAGGGGTTGGGCACTACTGTGCAGTCAAAAATTTGAGTGTAACTTTTGACTCCTCAAAAACTGAAGCCACGCTGTGGACCAGAACCGATAATATAAATAATTAACATATTTTTTGTTGTTGTATGTACCATACGTATTCTTACAATAAAGTAAGCTAGAGTAAAAATGTCATTAAGAATATCGTAAGAGAAAACACATTTGTAACACCCTACTGTATTTGTTGATACTGTACTTGTGTCATTTGTTTACATGAAAATCCTTGGCTCTTGCATTCCAAACTCATGTTGTTCAAGAGTCAGCTGTATTTTTCATTTGTATGTGTCTAGCTTGATGCCTAAAATGCTTCCTACAGATTTTAACTTTATGTAATTCTTGGAGGTTGACATTTTATATGAATAAAGTTTTCCCTGAAGTCTTAATTTTATATATGTTTTGTATTGCTGTCTTTTAAAACTGTGATAGTCTAGACATTTATTTGTTCTAGCATAGCATGGTATTTTAGCTGGTGAAATCTTTGAAACAATCCTTAACTCTTCAAACTTAATATAAAATATAATGCAGGGCCTCCCCTGGTGGCGCAGGTGGTTGAGCGCTGCACCGTGAAGCTGTCCACAGCCTCTGCAGTGCCAGTTTGATCCCGACCCGCCAGCCAGGTTCCCACATGGTGCAGCAGACCTCTCCTGTTTTGCCCGCTGCTCCCCTCAGCAGTGTATTTCGTCAGTCTACCTGTTCTGTTACCTGCTGTGTCTCTGGTGAATCCTCTCACCCGCCTGCACATCTGGCCTGTACCCTGGTTCTTGCATAAATAAATAAATAAATAAATAAATAAATAAATAAATAAATAAATAAATAAATAAATCTTTAAAACATACATAATGCAGAAAAATAAGAAAACTTATGAGAAGGCAATTTTCTATAACTAACATTATCGATAGTTAGGCAGAATCTAACTCTTATTCAAGTAGAATGGTCATGAGTCCAATGCCTGAAGCAAACTGGATACTTTGAATCCTTTTTTCTGCAGTATGTCTTTGGTCAAATTAATTCACTACTCTGTGTCTCAATTTTCTATCTGTAAAATGGGGGATATTAACAAGTATCTACCAGATAAGCTTGTTGGATAAATGATCAATAAAGGCAAGGCACAGAGAACAGTGTGTGGACTTAGTAAGTTTTATATTCTGACCAGTATTTGTTTTTATTGTGCTTATTAATACCATTTTACCTTCACAACATGGCCACAAATTAACTACCTGTCACTTAATTGTCTCTGAGTTTTAGGTCTTTTGCAGTGTAAGGAGAGTTGGGTTATTTATGACTGATTAACTGGGGGATATGTCAGTCTCTACTGGATACTACAGCTAGTACCCACTTATATGTTCCTCATTGATTCTTTGCTTGCTGTTAAACCATACATGGAAACACAGGCTCTGAAAATATTATCTATGAACAGTTGCATTGTATAGTCTCCTGAAACTGTTGGTTTTAAGTAACATTTATTTTTGTTCACTAGTCTTCTGTGTCACAGGAAAGGAAGAAGGCCTTGAACTTAAACATACTCCATAGCAACACGCCAAGTTTACTTGCAAATGTGCCCAGCCAGAGTTGCACACATGAGCCATGTTCCCACCCAAGATATTTTCAGTCTTACCAGTTTCTTCTATCTCTTTTACCAGTTTCCTTTCTGTCTCTTCTATTTCTTCTATCTCTTTCTGGTCTGATGTGATTTCATTTTCTTTTTTCTTCACAAACTCTTACACATTCCATTATATTTTCTCTTCTCTATTGTGGCTCCAAGAATACTGAAATTGTGTATCTTCATTTTTTTAATCCTTCCTCTTTCACCAGGTATATTGTTAGTAGAGACAGATTCTTTTTGTTGGCCTAGTTGTATTTATGGCATTTTGCAGATTCTATTTTTTTTTAAAGATTTAATTATTTATGCAAGAACAGGGGTACAGGCAAGATGTGCGGGAGGGTGAGAGGATTCACCAGAGACAGAGCAGGGAGCAGAACAGGCAGACAACCGAAATACACGGCTGAGGGGAGCAGCGGGCAAGACAGGAGAGGTCTGCCACACCATGTGGGTTTCTCCCCGGCCAGCCAGGAATTGAACCTGCACTGCAGAGGCTGTGGACAGCTTCACAGTGCAGCGCTCAACCGCCTGCGCTACCAGGGAGGCCCCCAGATTCTATTCTTATTCAGTAAGAGGTAATTGAAGTTAAGTAGTACCATAAGGATATTTAAAAAAAAACAACAAAACCTTTAAAAAGGCTACTCCTATTTCTAAACACACATGACTGCATGTAGTAAATGCCTCCTTTAAGGTACTTTTTCTATGAATGACTTAACGATATCTACCTATTTTAAGAGACTTTTTTTCATCCTACGAGATAACCCAACAAATCTGCTGAAACATTTTCTAAAACATGGTCTTGCTTTAAATAATATTGATCATTGTCTTTGGTGATTATGGATCAGTTACTGCGCTAGATTGCATATCTATTTGTATATAGATGTTGCAGGATAAAATTTAGTGGTGACAGATTTTTTTTTTTTTTTTTTTTTACGTTTCTTTTTTTCACCTTAGTATTTCTTAGAAAGATATACAGCTGTGTAATCTTCATGGGAAATTTTGCCTTTCTACATATTTGAAACTTTTACCTCCTAGCAGGTTTTCTTATATTACAGAGAGTAAGTTTGCTGCCATTATTTGTTTCTGCTGTTTGTCAGTAGCATTCACAGTATTTTTCTTGTATCCCTCAATCAGTGAGCCATGGCAGCAATGCCTAATGTTATTAGCAAGCACGTTTCCCCCATGACTCTTAACAAGGTTTCTTTGTTTTTTTTTTTTTTTTAATGGACTATAAAAGAAGGAAGGCTGTGTAGTATTTCCTAAATGCCCCTATATTAGAAACCCTCATATTTAATGTAATCTGTACTGGTGGTGATGGTTGGTCAATTGAATTAAAGTTTGGTCAATTGAATTAAAAATGACATAAACCTTTGAACATTTTCATATACAAGTTAATGCTATAGCTTTTTTTTCTATAAAGCTTTTAGTGTTTGTCTGGTAATGAGAACTGTGCATTGTTTTTCTTTCACAAAGCATGCGTGTATTTCATCACCAAAGTGTCAGCTTTGGCTTTTTTTCAAGTGGAGAGAGAACTTACTTAGACATATTGAAGGCATTCTGAGTATAGAATTCTGCTGGACTTTGTATGATCCCCCCATCTTTTATATATGTCTCACAATTTTTTTAGTGACTCACTTGATGGAAATGTTCCTAAACATTAAACTTAATTTTTTCAGTTAACATAATATTTAAATTGCATAATTACAATGCATGTAGAACTGGAATGAATATATTGGTTACAAGGCATACCTGACTCTCTATAAATATACAACTGCTGGGACAAGAGAGAGAGTGCAGCCTAATAAGAACTGTTTCTGAGTGTTGTTAAGTTTCTATGGGATGTTTTATAGATTGAAAGGAAAAGATCTGAGGTTGTCCTGATAGGTATTAGAAGTCAGAAAAGGGAGCTTTCACTGACATATTTTGAGATTCTTATTCAAAACTAACAGATTTTTACTTCTTATAGTTAATATTTCTCACTACTTTTAAGTCATTACTTCAACAAATCTTAATTAAGAGATGTGAAAAGAGGGCCTCCCCTGGTAGCGCAGCGGTTGAGCGCTGGGCTGCAAAGCTGCCTGCAGCCTCTGCAGCGCTGGTTCGATCCCCGGCCACTGGCGAGGGTCCCACATGGTGCACAGACCTCTCCTGCCACCTGCTGCTCCCTCAGCAGTGCACTTTGGTCCTTCTGCCTGTTCTTCTCCCCACTCTGGCTCTGGTGAATTCTCTCACCCTCTGCTCCTCTGACTGTACCCAGTGCTTGTATAAATAAATACATCTTAAAAAAAAAAAAAGAGAGAGAGAGATGTGAAAAGATACAGTGCCAGTCCTTTAGAGGTTCATGTCCAATGTTGGTAGAGAGATGAAATGTGTAAAGTAGTATAAGAACACAGAGAATGAATTTCTGCTTGAGGGGGACAGGAAGAGATTCAAGAGATGTGACCCTTGTGTTTAAATTATGCAGGACAGGTCAGTATTAGGCAGAAGATATTTGGGAGAAGAAATGTGCAGATAATTCAGAATTTGTTACATGGATCTTGAAGCAGTCCTAATAATGAAAACAATTTTGCCACAAAAAAAGCAAATTACCAACATTGCAAATAAATTTAGAATTAAATGATTAATTTGTATTCGTGATCATAGTCAGTTTAATAACTATTAGATACTCAAATTCAGAAGAAATATCTATCTTGTGTTGCTTGCCTCAGTGCTCTTCATGGATCCTGATTGCCTCCCGCTGCTCTCTTCGTTGCACTCCAATTTTTGGCCTGTCTTCCCCATTAGGTTCACCTGTGAGGGCAGGAAGCCTCTGTCTTTTTCACTGTTGTTCCTAGCATCAAGTAAAGCACTGATTGTTGACTGACTGCTGGGTTGGCTAACTTTGATTTATATGGATATGTGGGAAGCTTACAGTACTTAAATATCTTATTTGCTCATTTTTTTAAAACAGTGAACAGAGCATCTGTCAGGCAAGAGCTGCGGTGATGGTTTATGATGATGCCAATAAGAAGTGGGTGCCAGCTGGTGGCTCAACTGGGTTCAGCAGAGTTCATATATATCACCATACAGGCAACAACACATTCAGAGTGGTGGGCAGGAAGATTCAGGATCATCAGGTAAGAATCATTTGAATTCTTGTTTCAAGTTACATAGTATTAAAAAAAAACTTCATATGATTCATAAAGTAGTGATTTAATACCATAGTCAAATTAGTGTCTATGGGAGCCATAGGATGTAGGCTGGCTTTCTCATCCTCTCCACCTTTTATGAAGCTTGAATTTAGATGAAGATTTGGAACTAATTGTACAAAAATATAAGTGCAAGTTTTTCAATTATGAGTAGGTCTTTGGCCTTGCAGCTAGCTAAGTTTGGGAATCTGAAGTAAATTTAGAACAAACAAAATGTGAAACTCTACTAGCAGATTGTATATTTAAGGAATACATTTTCTGCCAAAGGTATGATAGATAGGCTAGCAGGAGTTGAAAGAAAAATGAGTTGCAGAAAATGTTAAATTCATGCATTGTAGAAAAGTTATAGGCATCGAGGTTGCTAGAATAATTCAGTTACACTTTTGTAATTTATATCTGAGGTGACAGCTAAGCTTTTTCTAATTTCCTGCTTTGCATTTCTTAAAAAGGTGACTGAATTATCTGATTGCTTGATTTTCTTAGGCCTTAACAAATCAGAAGATGTAGATAGAGTAAAGCGTAGGTATGGTCTTACTAGGAATATGTATATGCTAAATAGCAGCAAGAATTTTTGTAAAGAATAGATGTGTAAAATACTTTGGTTCTGGTAAGATGGTGGAATCAACCAAGGTTAAACACATGCAGGAAAAATGTAGCAAATTACCAGCTGAGCTCAAACTTAAGAAAGGTAGATCCCTGGGTTTCCACTAAGAAGCATGATAGTGTGTAAACAAGTGCTACAGTAACCTTCTGCTTTAGAAGAGAGGTTATGAACTGCTAGGATGATTGAGATTCATCATCTGTCTCTGTAGGCACTATGGACTCTAAGGGTTAGACCTTGAAACTGATATTTCTGCATAACGTTTGGATTCAGGGTGACTGTACACCATGAAAAGAAGACCTCCCCAAATCCTCCTTTTGCCACAGGGAAGTGAAATAATTTGTTTTGGTCTGAGCTGATATAGGCACTCCTGTGAATAATGGGAAATTCTAACTTTACTTACACAACTCCAGTCAAATTAGCAATAGTGGTTACAGGTTAGTGAAACTCCTGGGCACCTGGCAAAAAGAAATGCAGTGCTTCCCTAGAGAGTAACTTTCATCAATCTTAGTAAGTCTGCAGAAAGAGCAATTCACTGAATTTAATAAATTACTTTCTTAGTACAAACTTTTGTAGTCTCTTTTGGCCCTGTCAGACCACCTTTTCTCTTTATTTCTTTCCTGTGCCCCAGTATTTCTCTATTTTTCTTTCCTGGTTTTCTCTTTTTGCCCTCTGTGCCCTTTCCTGGCCTCCCCAGTGTCTGCTCTTTTGTAGTCCAGGTTGTGCTGAATGCTTCCTCTCCTCTTTGTCTTTCCTCCAGCATTGTTTCCAGCAGTGAGTTTGACAAATCAAACATGCCCTAAGATGCTGTCTGTAGAGAAAAAAAATTGAAATTGGACAACTAAGACATTGTAGAAATTGTTGAACATTCTTAACATTCAAAACTAGGAACTGTAAAATAAAAACTTTTACATAAATTTGGTGAGTTGATCATTTGATGGTACTGATGAACAATCCTAAAAATATCTAAATGTTGGCAAAAAAGGAAATATATAAAATAATTAGAAAAAAAAATGTATGTCAATAAATCTCCATATGAGACACAGGTAATTTTGTAAGTAAAGTACCCTGTGACTTCTAGGTGTTGACAAATGGTGTGTTTCTTAAAATGGAAATTTGAAAAACAATTCTAAATAATTTGTGACACTAAAATGAAATTATTATGAAGATTAGAAAATAAGAAAATACTAGAGTGACAAATATAGAAACCTGTGGGATGTCTAAGATCTCCTTGGATGGACAAGTCTTAACAGTATTTAATGAGCTTAACTCATAGAAAACAGAAGGAAATAGAAAAATGGAAGAAGAAACTAAAGAAAACATAGGCCAAACACTCCAAGATACTGGATTCAGATGTCTCTGCAAACTGGACTCCAGCACAAGGAGAAAAAAAGCACAAATAAACAAATGGCACTACATCAGATGAAAAGATTCTGTGCAGTGAAACTGTCACTAAACAAAAAACGTCCCATTAAACTGGAGGAAAATTTGCACATTCTATGTCCAAAAAGGGGCTAATAGCCCTAATCTACAAAGAACTCATAGGACTCAACACAAAGAACAAATAATACACTTGGAAGATGGGCACAAGAAGCTCAATAGACACTTCTTCAAAGAAGACACATAAATGTTCAGTTCAACAGGCATATGAAAAAAAATGCTGACTGTGATACTACTTATCACCAGGAAAATGTAAACTAAAACCACAGTGAGCTACCATCTCACACCTGCAAGAAGGAGCCATATAAGAATTGAAAGGTGTGTTAGTGAGAAGAAACTCTTGTATATCTTTGGTGGAAATCTGACTGATTCAGTATGAAGATTTTTGAAAATATTAAAAACAGACCTATGATATGATCCAGCAAGTCCACTTCTTGATATCTACCTGAAGATGTAGAATACTAATTTGATGGAATAGCTACACGGCTTCAAAATGACCACAATAAGGAAACAGTCTAAGTGCCCAAAAACAGATAGGTGGGTTGAGATGTTCCACACAGTGGAATACTACTCAGTTTGGAAATGAAGATACTTTGCCTTTGTGAAAACATGGAGGAAGCAGGATGTAATTATGTTAAGCAAATGAGTCAAGAGGAGGACAAATACCAGCTGACTTACTGATGTGGAATATAAAGAAACAAAAGAGATGAGTAGTCAAAAATAGACCAGAACAACCCTTTTAATATAATCTAAGGGTGAGGCTACCAGAGGGAGGGGGTGAGGTTATGGTGTTCGGAAGAGTGCTCCCAGTAGACTGTGGTGGAGGACTATGGATGCTTTGGAAGTGGGTGTGGTGTGGTAATACACATCTGAAGAAATATGAACCTATATGCCTCTGTCGTATCCAGTATTGTAAACCAATGTTACCTCAAGAAAGAATAATGCAATTTAAAAATAAATAAAAGGTAAGATTGATTTAGATCTAAATTTAGATATGATTTACATTGAATGTAAATATAGTCAGTAATCCAGTTAAAAGCAAAGACTGGCAAATTGACTAGCATAGAATTGATCATTTGAATACAAACTTGTAGCTGCACACATAGAGCCAGTGCAATATTGATAAAAACCAAATAGGAGGATATAGTGTAGTGACTTTAAGACCGTATACAGTGACAGTAGTTTAGGCACTGTGATGTTGGCTTTGAAAGGTGTATTGACCCATAGATAAGTAGAGCTATTTTTAGAAACTTGGTTTATGAAAAGGAAATGTGCAGCATCGTTAATAGATGTGATGGATCAGTTGAACAAATTGAAACAGAGAAAGCTTGAATGGTGTTATATACCAAAGACATAAATCAATTCCAGTTGAATTGAATTGGAAAATAAAGCTTCCATAATGTAATATGGAATGATATTATCACTTTGGGATTGAGAAAGAACTCTTTAAACAATTATAAAAAGCGTTAAATACAGAGGAGAAGATAGTTAATTTGTACAATTGGAACTGAATAAAAGTCAAGCACTTCTGTTCATCAAAAAACACCATTTAGAAAGTGAAAAGGCAAGCTACAGAATGGAACAAGATGTTTGTAACACACATAACCAACAATGAGATATCCAGAGTGTATAAAGAACTTGTACAAATATAGAGATGGACAACTTAGTAGAAAAATGGACAGGAGATTTTAAAGTGATTATTCATAAAATAAGATATCCAGACAGCCATTACAACATAAAAGATAAGAATTCTCATTAGTAATCAGGGAAACTAAAGTCACAATGATGGCTTAGACCCACCAGAATTGCTCAAATAAAAGCAAACAGTACCAGTTGTAATGTTGTATGTGTTATTGTACAAGCTGTTGTATTCTGCTTTGCAAGTGGAAATTGATATAACCAGTTTGTAATGCTACTTGGAGTTTTCTGCAAGCTGAACATAGTTTTGTTATGTTACATTAAGTTCAAACATGTTATGTGTCACTTAGTGATGGGGGAGGATACATTCTGATAAATTGTATCATTACATAATTTTGTCATAGTGCAGAAGTTACAGGGTCTAATTACACAAACTAATGATGTAGCTACTGCACACCTAGGCTATCTGGTATAATCTCATTGGCACTACTGTTGTATGTGCAGTTTGTTGTTGGTTGGAACAATCATTAAATGACACTTATGACATCCACTGTTGTATGTATATGCACCAGAAACATGTTTTACACAAGGAATACCATAGAGCAATAAAAAGAAGCTACCTCTACATGCAACAAATAGATGATGCCAACAATTTTGAGAGAAAGAGGGTATCAGATATGTTAAATATGTATTGTGTTTCTCCATTTATATAAAATCCCAAAACCTGCAAAACTGATCTGTGATGTTGTTGAAATGTGGTCAGTACCTTTGGGGAGGTGGGAAGATGTTTGTGGTGTTAACGTCCTATTTCTTGCTCGGGATTTTGGCTACATGGAGTGTTCACCAGGATATATGTTTATGTTTTATACACTTTTCTGAATTTATAATAATTCAGTAAACATGTAAAAATGCATTTTATGAAGGAAATGGATTTTCTTTTGTTTTGGTGGTTCTCTGTTTTAAAGCTAGACCTTTGTGTCCGTCATATAGCTTCCATCCGATTATTATTTCTTCAGGCTGATTTTACCATACATAATAGTTTCCAACATTTTTTTTTGCCTAGAGCTATCAGGAACAACTTTGAATCAGTATTTCAGTATGGATTTGTTGACTTTCTTGATTTTGCCGATTATTTGCTTGATTTTATAAAGAATTATGTCTTTTAGGTGGTGATAAATTGTGCCATTCCTAAAGGGTTGAAGTACAATCAAGCTACGCAGACTTTCCACCAGTGGCGTGATGCTAGACAGGTGTATGGTCTCAACTTTGGCAGTAAAGAGGATGCCAATGTCTTCGCAAGTGCCATGATGCATGCCTTAGAAGTGTTGAATTCACAGGAAACAGGTAAGGTGTCTGTGATTTACTTGTTTTCTTAAAAGTGTCATGTATATGTTAAATCTTTTTCTGACAAATTTTAAAATCATATATGTATTTGTAATAATTCTTGAATTTCCATTGTTTACTACAAAAAATGTGAACTTTTGTTAGTTGATAATGATCCTGTAGCCTAGAAGGATAAACATTAGTATATTGGTTACAGCTAGTATTTGTTTAACCCTTGCATTTGAAATTAGTTATACCATCCTCCTGTTCTAGAAACTCAACTTTTGTTGCAAGAACTTGTGGCAATTATGGAAATTATGTGTATTTATCATCATCTCAGTTTTTATTAAAAAGCACATGTTTTCTGAAAACATATTTTTAACACTACTAAGCCTGTAAACTGCAAGTAGGACTAGTAAATTGAAAACAATTTTGATTCTAAAAATTGCTTAAAGATTTTAGGAGTGCCCTCATGTGGTACAAGCCATTTATTGCATTTTCTCTTGACACTGCATGGTGGTTATTAGAAAGATATGTATTAAAAAAATGCCAGGATTTAAAACTGCATATATGTCAGAGAGAAGCTCTGTTTTTGTCTTGGAGTAAACATAGAAAAGAAATACATAACTGTGTGATTATCTCTTTGGGGGCGATAGATTTTATAATCAGAAAAATGGATGTTATATATAAAACAAAATATGATTACTCTTGCAAAATATGATTACTCTTGCCTTTGTTGTATATGTAGTAGTGATCTTGATAAAAATATGTTATAAACAAAATTCGTGTATTTTAGGAGGAAGGACATATATAGTCAGATAAAAATTTGATATTTTGTTGATGGTAGAGAATTTCAAAATTTTGATTTGAAATCAAAGTTAAAAATTAACTTTCATTTATACCTTGCCTTATTCTAAAAAGGATTGTAGCATCTAGCCCATGTGTCAGTTTATTTCAAATATGATTTCAGTACAAGATATTTTCGGGATCTTGCTGATTTTATGTTTGTAGATGGTTTATATTAGATCTTCCTTTGAGGAAATAAATATATCTATAATTTGGACATAGCTTTCACATATTAATCTGTTTTAAGAAAAATAAATCACTAGAATGTCTCCTGAGCTATCAAAAGTCCAGAAAATACCACAGAAAAGTCTGCCTGTTTGTGTATTATTCTATGTAGATTATCTCTCCAGGTCAGTGCACTTTACTTGCAGACCTCAGTTTATTATCAGCATTCTGCTGTAGTTACAGAATTACTTCTCGGTCACTGTAGCTTTGTTGTAGGGAAGAAACTAGAGGTGTGGTTCTTAATATAGATCAACTACATAATAAGTAATTAAGAGACCAATGTTTAGAGATACACTCTGTGTGTGTGTGTGTGTGTGTGTGTGTGTGTGTGTGTGTGTGTGAGAGAGAATATGACAGTAACATGTGACTTCCCCATGTTTGGAAAAAACTAAAATTTTTATTTCTGAACCTTCAAAAGAGAATCTACTGATATTAGGGACTAATGTTATTAATGTAAGTAGGTAACTGTTGTCATTTATCTTGTCAACAAATTTTTTTTTTTAGCCAAATGGGAAGGGTTATTTTTATCAGTGTGTAGTCATGTAGTTGGCTTTCAAAATGAAAATGCAATTAATGTTTTTTTCTTTTGATCTTGATCTTTTGAAATTAGTGAGTCTTAATGTGGGAGAGACTCAGTTATATTATCTGTTGTAATTTCCACGTTGTAGAAAGTTTGGCAAATGGGAAAATTACCCATCATCTCGCTGGTTATACAAGTATTTTGGTAAGGCAAAAAAAATTTTTAATAGATTTCTTAGATGATGATGAAACTTTATTCTCTTCTCTGTCACAATCTCAACCACAGGTTTAAGCAAAAGAGAAAAGGGAGGAAGAAACTGGTTCATCCTAGCCATTTTCTTGCATGATGATCCAAGTGATTGGCAAAGAGGCTTTTGGTTCAGTAGATTATTCATCAGAGAAAATAGAGCATATAAAAATGGTTGATGCTCTTTATCATCTGATTTATCTAGGAAATGACTTTTTATAAATTCCTATATTTAGATGCTAATTTCTGATTTTCCATGACTTGGAAGGGGAGACGTGGAAGGAGGTAGTGCTAACAATCCGTATCCTAGGGAACGGATATAGAGTGCCAAAGTAAGATAGATATAAATCCCACCCTGGTATTGTTTTGTGGGCTTCTTTCCATCCACCTAAACAAACATACTCAATAATGTTGTCTCTCATCTTGAACATATCTTCCCTTGCCACAGCTGTTAGCTCTGGGTTTATAGCCAGTTCCTTTCCAAAACCATCTACTGTCTTCTTGCCAAAACCAAGTTGGAAAAGTTTAACTTGTATGTCCCCTCCTTAGACAAATAATATGTCTGATGAATCTGATCAGAAGCAAAATGAACTTATTCATAAAGGTAGAGTCACGACAGATATTATTTCCTACTCTTACTGATTTACCACTTTTAAAAATTAATTTTCCATATTTGAATATTCTTGTTTATTTAGTTGTCAGTATTTTCCATTGAACACTGGTTAAACTTTTTCAGTGTTTTACCAACATTTAATAATTATGCCCCCTTTTGTTCAGATACATTTTTCCCCCCAGAAACTCTGTGCATTAACAGACCCCCCCCAAAAAAAGAAAGAAAGAAAAAGAAATAAAGCTTCTCCGATTAATGTGGGGATTTGGGAGTCCATAGCACTGAGTTACCTGTGTGGGTTTCCAGAGCAGGATTTGAAAATTACTGGCCCTTGTTCTCCAAGTTCTTTAAGGCCTCAAACAAATTTTTTAAATTAATAACATGTCTTTGGGGTCAGTCATACTGACCTTTATAAGGTGCTTCTGTTTGTTTAATATTTCCATTTCTTTTATGAAAAGGGTGGGTGGCAGGAATGTTTTCCTTTATTTTGTTTTTAACTTGGTATGCAATTATCTAATATACTTGAAAGTACAGGAGGTGCTAAATACAGTGAGTTATATTTGGAACTTAAACACAAATCGCATGTTCTAACATTTTGAAAAAGAGTTGAATTAATGCTCTTCCTTTTAAACCAAATGCTGCAGTTTATCTGTTTCTTTTGTCTTATGGAAATGGACTTGATTTTACACAAGTACATTCAAAACTCATCTAGGCTGCTATTTTTAATTTTTGTGTTATTTATCACATAAATTTATGACAGTTTTGCAGATAATGGATTATATAAAACATAAAGTCAGTCCTTGTGGTAAAGGTAAATTTACACAATCTCTTTTGTTTTGGAAAAGGTTTAAGCATTTGAAAATAGGAAAATGATTTTTTTAAATCCATTTTTTAAAGGGAAATCATATGCCTAGCCAATATTATTTTACTGCTTTTGTTCTTCTCTACCAAGATTTAGCATACCTTGAAGAGGAAAGCTTTAAAATATTTTACCATTAGTTGAGACTGCTTTTGCCATGAGAACATAATCAAAGATAGCCTTGTGCTGGATATTTTCTTTACCATTTTTAGAATAAATATTTACAAATAATTGAAATTAGATTCATTTTTATTCTTATTTCTAGTTTGCCCCTTCCAATATCAGTAGTTGCATGAATTTTATATCAGCATTTTTAAATTTTTTTGAGAGATGTTTTGGAGTTAATTGGATTTTTAAAATTTTGAACCATTCTAGACACAATTTATGGTGGCACTTTTATTTTTCAGTCTTCTAGCCTGAAAGTATTCATTAGAGCAGTATATCCCCACCAGACATGTTTTGAACATTGGTGTTAAGCCAGACATGGGGAATAACACTGACATGATAAAACCTGTATCTTTCCTTCCAGGATTTCACATGTAGGCTGAAGCTACTATAAATAAGGTCAACAAATGTAGAATACAGTTTGTGGAATGTTGTGAATGCAGTATGTAGAAAGGCCTTTGGAATACCAATGAAAACTGTAGGGTCAAGAAAAGTTTTTAAAAGGACATGCATTTGAGTTGTTTTTTGAAGAATGAGTAATCCTCATCAGCAGGAGAAGAACATTGTTGCTAGGCTTGGAAACATGAGACCATGGAACAATTGGGAAACAACAGATAGGTAATGTGGCTTGGGCCTGAGAATTTATATTCGGGCAGGGAAGACACAGGAGATAGACTAGAAAGGTAGGAAGCCCTTGCATTCCTGCTGAGGAATGTGCGTGTTGTGATGGTCAGTGCCACAGAGAACGTCGACAGTACGAAATAAATGTTTGGTATGATCAAGTTTGTGCTTTAGGTTTGTGATGGATTGGTGAACTTGTGGTTATAAGCATGTAAATCTGCTTGGGGTGCTGTTATGGAATTAATGGTGAGAAGGATAAGGCATGAAATGACAGAGTATAAAGAAGAAATGAGCAGAGGGAAGAGAGGATGACAGCCTTTCATTAGGTGCCTGCTGTTCCTGTGACAGCATTGTGTTCAGGTCCTTACTTAGTTGTTGGGACATTGCTGAGGCAGGAATAATAATCCATTCATTGTTCACCTACTGTGTGCCAGGTCCTAATTGGATGTTTGTATTACTGATAATCTTTATAATAATCCTGCAAAATTGGTGTTACTGTCCTCGTTTTAGAGATGATATTAGACCTTAGAGAAGGTCACCGGATTGGCCCAAAGGTCACAGCTATAAAGTGGCAAAAGTGGCATTTGTACCCAAATCTAGTTTTAGAATTCTACCACTTTCCCTCTGTGTCAGTGAAATGTAATGGAAGGCCAGGACAGATTGGTGTTATGATTATCCATTGTGTCAGTTTGGGGCATTGGTGAAGATGTCCTACTGACCGGAGGTAGGCGAGAATGGGAAATAGATAACAAATTTGATTCTGGACGTACTGCATTTGGGGCATTTTATTAATACTTTTATTAAATCATATTCAAATGGACTTGGAAAGACCCCTAAAGGTAATCTTTGCAGTATTATCACTTTAACTTTCCTATATCAAGTAACCTTATTTGCAAAAGTAACATTTTAAAACAGATAAAAAGCATTAG